TTGCTGTGTTTTAAAATACTTTTGATCTCTAGGAATTTCATTCTCAGAGAATTTTAGTGATGATAAAATGAATAATATATGTGAATATATTTGTTAATCATACAACCCTAAACCTATGTTATTGTTAATTTTTGGCATAGTATAAAATCAAATAAATAGAAATTTTAACTGATTAAGCATGCTATCTCCAAAATAATGATATTCAAATTGGCTCTGTGGGTCAACTGAGTCAAAAATAATTAATGATTATTAAAAATGCAAATAGTTCTTCCTTGACTCAGAACTTATGCATCACAATCTCAGGAAATGTAATACAGAAGTTTGTATTTTTAATAAACTACCAGTGTAATTATTACATGTATTCTATCCCCTCTCTTATGAGCTAGAAGAGGAATTTGAAAAGCGAAACTCACAGCTGTAAACCCACTCCAGCTAGTACTGACACATTTACTGCCTCTCCTCTAATGCCCTCTTACTTCCTATGATAATTCTACACAGACTTGTTAAATTCACATGCAGTTTTCTCTTCTGGATCACTTCAGGTATGAAAAAGTAAAATGGAAAGGACTAACTGGACAGAGATTGAGTTCATTCTACAGGGACTTTCTGGGTACCCAAGAGCTGAAAAACTCCTTTTTGTGATGTGCTTGCTGATGTACCTGGTGATCCTCCTGGGGAACAGCACCTTGATAATCCTCACTCTCCTGGATTCCCGCCTCCACACCCCCATGTACTTCTTCCTTGGTAATCTTTCCTTCCTCGACATTTGCTACACATCCTCCTTTATCCCCTCACTGTTGATACACTTTCTATCAGAGAAAAAAACCATCTCCTTCACTAGATGTGTTGTTCAGATGTCTGTCTCTTACACCATGGCATGCACAGAGTGTGTGCTCCTAGCAGTGATGGCATATGACCGTTATGTAGCCATCTGCAACCCTTTGAGATACCCTGTCATCATGAGCAAGACCCTCTGTGTTCAGCTGGCAGCTGTCTCCTGGGGATTGGGCTTTCTCAACTCATTGACACAAACCATTCTGGCAATACGGTTGACCTTTTGTGGAAAAAACGTCATTAATCATTTTGTTTGTGAACTATTGGCCTTTGTCAAGCTGGCTTGCACAGATATTTCCTTGAATGAGATTACTATAATGTTGGCTGATGTAATATATTTGTTCTTTCCATTACTGTTGATTTGTATCTCTTACATTTTCATCCTTTCTACTGTACTAAGAATCAATTCAGCTGAAGGAAGAAAAAAGGCTTTTTCCACCTGCTCAGCCCACATAACAGTGGTGACTGTGTTTTATGGGACAATCCTCTTCATGTATATGAATCCAAAGTCCAAAGACTCTGCTTCTGACAAACTGATTGCCCTGTTCTATGGAGTAGTCACACCCATGCTCAATCCTATCATCTATAGCCTGAGGAATACAGAGGTGCATGGTGCTATGAGAAAACTGATGGCTAGACTGGTTCCGGAGAAAAGGGTGAAGAACTTACATCTTTGAGTTCATGTACAAAAGAAGCTCATATATTGGAGGCAATGTTTTTAATAGAAGAACAAAAGAAATAAAGGTTATATGTAAAATCACAGAATTGAGTTGGAAAGAAATTTCAAGGTAATAATCTAACTTTATCTTTTATGAAAATAACATATAAAAATGAAGGGACAACTTGCCTAAGAAGTGAGAGGAAACTTTTAGAAACAAGAAAAAGTTGAAACCGAGCTTTTCCAAGAAAATCCAGTGCACGTGCCTACTTAATAAGTAAATGCATATTTTTCACTTCTCTTTATAACAGAACTACTTGCGTTCACATTTTCTGTTTATTATTGGTTTTTGTTTTACCCAGGAACTTCATCTGGCCTGAATCCAATTTTTTAGGTACATATTTTTTCCTTCTTCTTTCCCACCCCATGTTTCTCCCAAACCCTTTGCACATGCTGTGTTCCATTCACTATTCCCTATGTACTTATCCAACTATATCAGGTTCTTTGTCCACTTAAGGACAAAAGCATATGCCACTTTATCCCCTATTATCACATTTCTCCTATGGTAGCATCACACCCATATCATTAAATACAATTTTAGTGCTATATCTTCTGAAAATCCTTCCAAAATTTACCTACAGTAAAAGCATCATTTATAATAGCCAAGATATGGAAACAACGAAGTGTTTATCAATAGGTGAATGGATAAAGAAGATGTAGTGTGTGTATGTGCATACAAATACATAAATATGAAATGGAACCTAACTGTAATAAAAGAATGAAATTCTGCCAATTGCAACAACATTAATAGAACTAGAGAGTATTAAGCTTAGTGAAATAAGACAGACAAAGACAAATACTCTGTGTTATCACTTACATAGGGAATATAAAAAATAAAATAAAGGTATATAATAAACAGAAATAGACTTACAAATATGGAGAAAAAACTAATGATCACCAGTGAAGAAAGGAAAGGGGAAGGTGTGAAATAGAGGTATGGGAATAAGAGACACAAATTACTATGTATAAAATAAATGAGTGACAAGGATATATTATGCATAAGAAGGAAATATAGTCATTATATTATATAAATTTAAATGAAGTATAGCCCATAAAATATTAAATCACTACGTTGTAAACTGGAAACTAATATAATATTGCAAATCAACTATACTTCAATAAAAAAGGAAAAAATAAGATATAAGGAGATAAAGATACACTTGCATCCATTACCCATATATTATAAAGATTTCCATGTACATGCATTCTGAGAGGTGGGAATAGTTGAGGACAGTGGTTCTACAATTAATCTCTTATTATGATCTATAACTTACTTCTGAAATGAATTTTAGAAATATTATGACATACATTTTGTTTGTAGTTTTGTATGATCTGAAAAATACAACAAACTAGTGAATATAACAAAAAAGAACCAGACACACAGATACAGAGAACAAACCAGTAGTTACCTACCAGTGGGGCGAGGAAGCAGGGAGAGGCAATATAGGAATAGGGGATAAAGAGGTACAAACTATTGGGTATAAAATAAGTCACAAGGATACATTGTACAACACAGGGAATGTAACAAACATTTTACAGTAAGTATAAATGGAGTAACCTTTAAAACTAGTAAATCACTATACTGTACACCTATAATTTATATATTTATATACTTGACTATACTCCAGTGGGGAAAAAAAAAAGAAATAGTTTTTGAGGGTTGGATATTTACTATATCCTCATCCATAGATAAGATGCACCCTGGCTTTATGCAGGCAGTGAAGGTCAAGTCTCTGAATGAGGGCAAATGAATGAATATCACTAGCTGGAATTAATAATTGCCTTTAGTCTCATCCCTCTGTTAGCTGTTACTTATGTATACTTCTGAATACTCTACTTCTTTCATCACTTCTATTTTCTCACCCCTCTACTACTCCTCCAATGGCCACATATTATTCCCTTCAAATATTTTTATTAGATAATGACTGGCCAATCCATTGACCCCAATCTAACTACCTGTCTTGATGAGGTTGTCACCCTTTGGACAGACTAGATCAATCTTTGCTATGATTTTCTCATATGTCTTAAAATTAATCCCAGGACATCTTCTGTCTCTTTTTTCTACACCAATGGATGACCCTCAACCTGGGTCCAAGCTATTGACTCTGGTAACAATTCCAAGATGAATAGCAAAAAAAGTTTCACACGTCAACCTTACATACAGTCATCTGGTCCAGAGGGGGAATACAAATGCTATGAAAGTTGCTAAATGTGCAGTTTAAATCCCTTGTATGTTGTAGTTTATATAATATTTCATATATTTCAATACTCTAAACCAACTGAGTGGGTTTGGGATATTGTAATTTCTATAATATAGATATCATGTCTTTTCTTTGTAAGTGCTAATGGATTCATTTATACCCTTGGATTTAAGAAACTAGGTGTGAGAGAACAGCATGGTTAAAAGGGTACTAGCAGTTTCACTGAAACACCTTGGACCCTCTTTGAATTTACAAAGCAATGTCAGTATCCTAAGACCAACAACATACCAATAAATTCTCTGATATATTTTTCCTGACTGGCAGTCTTCCACTCCACTTCTACTCAGAATATATTTCTGCACATCTTTTACATTTGTATGTAGATATTCACACCACACACATATATCTGCGTGTGCAAATATATCCATACATGTAAAACACAACCACACATTTAGAGAATATGCAATTACTCCCATTAAATTTAGCTAGGCTAAAAAAGTTTTTTTATTAGTTCGCTGAGGCTGGCATACCAAAACACCACAGGCTGGGTCGCTTAAACAACAGAAATTTATTTGCTAAGGTTCTGGAAGCTAGAAGTCCAGATGATGATGTTGGTAGGTTTGATTTCTTCTGAGGCCTCTCCTTGGATTGTAAATAGTCACATTCTCACTCTGTCCTTTCCTCTGTGTATGAACATCCCTGGTGTGTCTATCAGTGCCCAAACTTCCTCTTCTTATATTGACACTACTCAGATTGTATGAGGGCCCACAAACTACAGCCTCATCTTAACTTATCACCTCTTTAATGGTCATATTTCCAAAAGCAAACACATTCTGAGGTACTGGGTATGGGGGGTTAGACCTTCAACATAAGATTTTTGAAGAGACACAATTCAGCCTAAAACAGAGGTCAATAATAAATTAGCTTAAAACTCTACTAAACTTATTACATATATATATATATTACATGTATACAGTTTTGAATACTCAACAATACACTAACTTAATGTTTAAAGTTATATTATACTCTATAACTCAAAACAAAAATTGATATTTGTCATCATGAGACTTATTTAAGATTTCACATAAGCTTCTGTAAGATATATCAATATTATCTTAGAGTTTCAGTGATTGGTCAAGGAAGAGACTTGAAAAATCACACATCACATTTAAAATGAGTGTCAACACCCATTATCCCAATCTTCTGATATATATTGACCAATAAACATCCCATAATGTTTACAGATATTATTCACTACTTTGTGCTGAAAGAGGACAAAGAGGGCTCCTAGCCAGTAATTTTTTCACAGCTACTTTCACCTCTTTGTTCCGTAAACTATAAATGATAGGATTCATCATGGGGGTTAATCCCGCATATACTAAAGCCATAAATTTATCTATTTCCTGAAAACCTACAGCTGAGGGCTTCAGGTACATGGAAAGAGCTGTTCCATAGAACAAAACCACCACAGTCAGGTGGGCTGCACAAGTTGAAAAGGCTTTGCTTCGACCATCCACTGAGCTGATTTTTAGGATGCTGGAGAGGATAAAAGCATAAGAGATACAAATGAGGAGCATCGGCATAGGAAGAAGGAGTACACTGATCACCAGCATGATTAACTGCACCTTGGAAGTATCCACACAAATCAGTCTCAGGACGGCCAGAATCTCACAGGTGAAATGATTGATGATCCTATTTCCACACAGAGACAGCTGTAACACAGACACTGTTTCCACCAGGGCAGTGATACAGCCTGTCGCCCAGGAGCCAGCTGCAATCTGTACACAAACCCTCTTGTTCATGATGATGGGGTACCTCAGGGGGTTGCAGATGGCCACATATCGGTCATATGCCATCATGGACAGGAGCACACACTCAGTGGAGCCCATGGCAAGAGAGAAGTACATCTGAGCAACACATCCTGAGAATGGGATGGTGTTTTTCCCGGAAACAAAGTTTGCCAGCATTGGAGTGAGGGTAGAAGAAGTGTACCAGATGTCCAGAAAAGACAGGTTGCCGAGGAACAAGTACATGGGTTTGTGGAGGCAAGAATCCAGGAGACTAACAGAAATTAGAATAATATTACCCAGCAAGGTGATCAAGTATATCAGCAAACACAGCACAAATAAGGTGATTTCAACTTTGGGATAGTGAGTAAATCCCAGAAAAATAAAATTTGAAATGACTGTCAAGTTTGTCTTGACCATCTTATTCCTTCTTGTTCATCTGTAGTAGTGAATAAGAACATACTTTTGTTTTTGTATTGTATATGTTTAAAAATCTAAACTCTACCAACTTTCTAGGGGTTTTTGTTAGAGGTACTTTAAAGGGATTATTATGCTGGAAATATTAATTATTCATTCATTCATTCATTCAACATTTATTGAATATACCATAAGTCACTGATGATCAGAGCTGAATTACACAAAAGTTGCTCCAGGGCAACTCATAATAAAATATAAGACACAGTCAAGTAAATAAAAAATTACAGTAACATGATATAAGTATGCCCCAGGGTACTAGGCAAACACAGAGTAAAAATCCTAACCTATGTTGGGAGTGCTGCTCAGTAAGACATTTTGAGACTTAGCTAATCAAAAAATGTGTTAGACCCAATCAAGTTAAGGACCAGAGGAGGTTTCTGTGCAAAGAAAAATCTTCTGTAAATGTTGTAACAAGAAAAGATTTGGCTGCACTTCATAAAGGTGCCAAATATGTAGTACAACAGATGGAAATACCACACACTAAAGAATATAAATAGAAGATAGACAAGAGTCCATCCACTGTAACACTACCTGATACCTGTCTTCAAGAAGATGTTTTCGAATACGGAATAATGTTGAACCCATACTTTCTTACAGAGATGATCATAATTTCAAAGTTAAGTAATTAATAATGCAAATCAAATTACTGGCAATTGATCACATATGGAAACATGCTTAAAAACCACTGTCCTACAAGAGAGTTCCAATGAAACAATCACAAATCACACCAGCCTCACATTCTCATCACTGCCTACTTTTCTAACCTCATCATCCAACACTCCACCTCCACTCTCCAGTCTGAAACAACAACCAACTTGTAGTTCTTCATACTTACCATGCCAATTTATATTTTTATGTATTTAATCTACAGTTTATCTACCTGAAGTAACTTTCCTTCCCAGCTCCAATCTTGTTTGTCTTGAATATCTTGTCCTATCATCAAAACTGTATGCCATATGTCTTAACTACAGCTTCATTCTTTGTACATACTTATGTTACTCAAGTATATTACACTGAACTATAGCCATACGTGCACATCCCTATTGCCCCTAGCAGTGGATGGTGAGCTTGTCAAGAGCTTGTTCCCCACAATACTAGCAAAGTAATAACTCCTGATTAAGATTTTTAATAACACATTGCTGCCTTGAACATTAAAATAAATACATTTTCTCTGTGGTTCACCGTGTCAACAAAAAAACCTGAGTACTTCTCAACTTGTTATGTACGCCTGCAAACTTAATCTGTGACCTTGAAGAAACTAGTTGAATTAAGAAACATGATTAGCTCTTAGCTTTAAATATTTGATGTAGAGTGAGATGAGGAAAAGACAATGAGCACTTGTACTCATAGAAGAGGCAGAAATGCTTTCCAAACAATGATCCTCTGTAGGGAATTATAGCACTGTCCTCAAAGTGTGGGATGTGAGTTCCAAATACAAAAATGCTACTTAGTAGTATGTAAAATTTGGCAAAAAATTTGACCTCTTTGAAATCTGGTTTCCTAATCTATACAAAGAGGATGATAATTCCTATCGTGTGCAGGTATCAGAGATCCAGATTAACTTGTCTTAAATTCTCACTCCACAACCCCAAGTCCATGACCTCTCTAATATTTCAGAGACTCACAGTGGGTTTATGATTTCATGGTCTCCCTGCTTTCCAGAACCATAATTGCCTGTATGCTGCTCCAGTGCTGACCCACATTGACTCAGGTAGATAAAAACTAAGTACCTTCATCATTTATTAAAATTTCAACCCCCAATCTATGTATGAAAATGAAACACTTTACTGATTATCTCCAGAGTGGTGAAAGGTAGACAAGTCTGGTCTCTAAAGTCCATTTTGGTCAGCATATGCCATCACTTTCCTGAGGGTTCCTCTAATGGGCTTTCTGTTCCAGCACCCAGTCTCCTTGCCCCGTATTCCTCCCACTTTGCAGGATGGTTCCTCTCTTGCCCTCTCCTTTTCCCTCTCTCTTCACCACTCTTTTGTCCTCTTTTTCAGAAACAAAACAATGAAATCATTTCCTTTTCTCATGTAAATTGAGTCCCACTCATATCCTCATCCTTATCTTGATAACATCTTTGTCAGAGTCTCACCTAACCCAAGTCACTTTATGTAGATACCTTCTGATTCCAGTGCTGAGGTAATTAAACATTTTCCAACAAACCTCTCTTTCTTTCTGAATGACTGAGTCAGAATAGAGTTAGAAAACTTCTAATCCAACTTTCTCCTTTTAAAGTTGAGAGATTTTGGAGGGGTTTATGACTTGCCTGAGGTAACTGTTTGGAATATACAGCCAAAAGTTTTATCCCATATTCAGGACTCATTTTTTCAACTCAGTATTTTTCCTACTAACAAGCATTTCTTTTTAAAGTAAATATCGGTTTCCTGGCCCAGCTGAGACCCAACAATAAATTTTATAAATCTGAGATTACAGAAAGAGATGGATAACGCCTGCTCCCATTTACCTCAGTACATGTGATGAACATCTTCTTTTTTTGGTTATTGTGCTTCAGTATTTAGAGTTGGTTTTCAGCATGGTCTTTCTTGTGAATCTAGTGCAGTGCTCAAAAGAGTAAAAGATTCTGAATTTTGTAATTAGGATAATACTTTATGAAGACTACATTAAAGTTGGTTTTACGGAGGTATTTTTACTCAGACAACTGCAATAAAAAAAGGCATGGATGTTCTTGGTTTGCAAAAATCAACCCGAATCTTGCCTGACTCACAGTCTCAACATATATAGCTTCTGTTGATTAAAATGTTTTCAAATAATTTCTTAAGAGAAATCATGATATGAAGATTTGTTCTGCCTAAATCACCCCTTATGATCTTCTCCAAAAACATTCCAAAGGGTAAACGCTGGAACTAAGATAACTAAAGTCTCCTGTTGCTACTAGGGACCTTCCAACTCCCTTAACAAATTAATGTTGTGATTCTGAAACATAAAGGAGTTAAGAAAGTTTCCAGATCTCCAGGGTGTGATTCTCAAAGTTCCATTAACTAATTTAGGACAGAAAGAAATTGGGTAAAAATTTTTTATGTTCTTTCAAGTCATTTGGCCCAGTAAAAGATTAATTCCCAAGCAACATTTGTGCAAGCAGAACCAGAGGAGACTGTCTGCCTACTCCATTCCTCTGTAGATTGCCCCTGAATTATACAGCAAATATTCCAATTAACAGAACTGTAGAAAGGCCTTCCCAAATAGCCTCTGAGTTTAAATGATCCATTTATTTTCAGAAATCTCTCCAAATATCTCCGTTATCTGAGTAATAGAAGATAAAACTTTCTTATTGAGTTCCTAAATGGCCACAAAGTGAAGAGAGAGCATTTATCAATCAGATAATTTATTACTATCAAATGCCTCTGAATAGACTAAGTGCCTAGTACAATGTTTGTGATTCCATAGAGTTTATAGTCTCTGAAGGAGCAGTGCATTAAAGTGAGTACTGGACTTAAAGTAAAAGAGTTGTTTGAACCTCAACTCAAATGTTGATTAGGTAAGTGACTAGTGAAAATTAATGAAGGGAAATTCAGTAAAACAGAGTCAGAAAGCCAGAAGGGCTCTCACAAAAACCACTTCAGTCAATACCGATCCCAACAAGGAAAAAAATACCCTGCTTATCCTGCAGGAAGTGACACTCCTTTACTCCTGCCAGCATAAAGAATAAAAATTTTCTCCTTGCCTAGCAACAGTTCAGCCAACGAAAGACAGTTGCAACTTAGCCAATAAAAAGCCACTGTACTTCTAACTCCCGGTTTCCTCCAAAGAATTTTTGTTTACAACGGCCCTTCCCAATTACCCTTTCTACTCTATGAAAGAGTTTCCTTTCCTTTGCTTTACTGAGCTTCATGTGATTCTCAGTTGCATGTCCCAAATCACAATTCTTTGCTGCTCCTAAACCCATTTTGCTGGTAAAAACAACTGGTTATTTTATTGTTTTAGGTTGACCTGATCTTTCATAGTTATATATTAATTGCATAAGGACCCCAATTCTTCAGTGCTTTCTAGGCTTACCTACTGTGGTTTCGGCCCTTAGGAATGTAGCTTGATTTTGTCACTGGGGCATTAGCAAACACAAAACAACACAGAGACTTGAAAAGCACTAACACAATTAAGTTAGCCATCTTTTTTCTGAATCTATATTATCATGAGAATATGTCCAAGTTTGCCAACAAAAGGATAAAACACACATTAAACATAACTGAGTTGTCCCAGTTGCCACTGCTGAGGCCACCTGGATGAGCCAGCAGTCAGTCCATCCCCAACAAGTGAGTGAGCCCAAAAACAATCAATAAGCCAACTCATAGCTGATTTTAAGATGCAAGATAATCTAGCTGAGATTACCTGGCTCCAGCCCAGATAAACTCTATCTTATAGACTTTAAAATAATAAATATTTATTTTTGCATGCTACAGAGATTTTGTGATTGCTTACTATGCTGCATCATTGTAGCAATACAAGACTAATGCAGCAATAGATCCTTTCATTACCTGTCCAACGTTGACTCACCTGGGCCTTTATCCTTCTTAAAAGAATCACAATTTTATTCATTTGTCTATCCCATTTTTATCCATAGGAGAATATCCTGATTAGTTCAAGCCTTCTATCTTACTTTCTAGAAGGCTTATATTTTTATCTTTCATACTGAGACATACATTCCACTTGGAATTACTATGTGTGAATGGTATGAGGTGAGGATTAAGACTTATTTTTCACTATGTGGATACTATTTGACTCAACCTGATTTATTGAAAAGATTCCTTCCCAGACACTACACTGCAGTGTCACTTCTCTCATAAACTAATTGACCAGATATGTATGGATCTGTTTTGGGCCTCTTGTTCTGTTCCACTGGTCTGATTTTTCTATCCTTGGGCCAATACTACATTGTCTTATTAACTGTAGCACTATAACAAGTCTTGATTTCTGGTCCTCTA